ATATTTTGCTGAGTGTGTTATTGTGCCGGTATCTTAAGGACTGCCAAAGACAGCTGACTCCTAATGTTTTTAATATTCTGTGTGGTGGTCGGTTCATACTGATAGAAATTCATCTTTTCCAATAAGTTTAAACTGATTTTTGCATTTTTACCTTTATAAAGCCATTTTTTCTAAAAGTGTCCATTATCTTTTGAGTCAAATTCATACATTTAATCAGGGAATTAGAATAGTAAGACATATGGGCTGTTACCGAGCAAATTAAATCCACACAGACGCTGCGTCTGAAGCGGCATTTAGATGTATTTACACACATGTATTTTGTTTAATGCAAGACATGAATGCTTTTAACCTGCAATTACAAATGCATAAATAATGTTTTTATTGTTTATTGAATTCAACATCACATTTGTAATCATGGTATTTTTTGGAGAAAAACGGCACTCTTCGTGTGAAATTGAATAACTATATGAAGTGCTATAAATATATAAATGTTCTGCCATCATGTCTTGAATTTGTGATCACTCTAAATGCATTTTAATAGCCTGAATCATGCAGTGAAAGAACACACACTAAATGTGCACGCGCACTAGTCTAGGCTTCACGTGATGTATGCGTGCGCTCTGTAGGGATGTTTTGAATGGTTTTTGCAAAATACTCGATAATGTCAAATCGCACATCGTTAAAACAACAATTACGATATTATCGCAGACGATATATATCGCACACCCCTACAACAAAGGTATTTTTTTATACAGTTGTGTTGTGCAGCATCTTGCTTGACAATAAAAATGCAATGACTTGTAAATTAACTTCATTTGATTACATTTTAAAAGCATGATCAAAGTGATTAGTTTTATCAAATCATTTCATTAGACACCATTTTAATGATAAATTTGTATTGCATCATAAAACACAGAATTAAGGAAAAAATCTAACGGAAAACAGAATTTAGCAGAAAATTAAATTGAAATTTTTTTATTTTTTTTTAAACAGATTTTACACTGCCCTAAATTAAAAAGGTATCTTACTCTGTGGAGCTTAAATGTGAACAAAAGTTATGTATATATTTATTCTCAAGGTCTGACAAACATGTGGAAAGCATTTCCTTCCCCATTAATGCTACATGAATAACACATTAAATATCAATATCATATGATACGGAAAAAAAAAAAAATATATATATATATATATA